TCCTGAGTACTTTAGAGAGGTCCCTAACAGCAGACTTTCCCATCGCGATACGCTTTTTGATTTCCTCACTGCTGGTGCCAAGAGTGTTGACTGTGCACTCTTTAAAACTATATCCATATATAAATCTTTTTTAAAGTACTCTCACTTTTTTCCCCACTTTTATTACCTTACATTTCTATAAGTCTGGCAATGCAGTTGTAGTTAATACACGTTCAGTTATACTGTCCATTGGTGCTTATGTATGTGTGAAAATTGGTAAAATAAAATTTCTTTTTCAAGAATATTGAACCAGGTATTTGAGAATAAAACAGCTCATAAAATCAGTGACATTCTTATTTAGGATTTAGTCCTTGGTTTTGCTCCTAGGAGTGCAATAAATCATGAAACTATTCTCTTAGAAACTTTTACTTTTTCTTGTGTCCTGTCAAATCGGATCCAACTGGCACAGGAGGAGGTTGCCCCTCCTTCTCCAGTGGAGCCTCTGGTAGATTTGAACTGCGTGCCTTTGGGATTGCAGCTCAGCTTCTTGCCACTAGGCCACCAGATCTCCCTGAAACTTAAATTTTTTTAAAAAACAATGTACTCTGTAAAAGACAGTATCTAATACCAAAAATAATTCCTCTTCACAGTCCTACCGTCTACAGATGACTATAGAGAATATGAACCAATTGAAATTCATTCCCCACAAAGACTACACCGCCAATCGCTTGGTCAGCGGACTCCTCCAACTGCCCAGCAACACGTCCCTTGTAATCGACGAGACACTTCTGGAGCAGGGGCAGCTGGACACACCAGGTATGTGGACACCTCCCCTCCTATGCTGACCTCCAGCTGGAGTCAGACACCATAATGTCTGAACGAAAGTCCATGAGTAAAGATAAATTGACATTTAGTGGGAGTTTCAGGTAAAGCCTCGTGTATGATTTGACTGAAGTGTGTTCTATAAAAGAATTAAATTGAGCACTCCAACCATTTCTAAATTAGTATTGATGAAATCGTATAGTAATGGAGCAAGCACAGAGCTTGGAACGAGAAGCCTTGTAGCTGAGATTTATTCGCTCTGTTACCTCAACAGGAAGTTGTAACAAAGGTCTCATGAAACGTTTCGTACTTGCAATGGGTAACTTTTAGAACGTTTCAGAGAATATATGAAGAACATACTTAGTGAATCAGATAGTTTAAATTAACCCCAATATCATGTTGTTATAAAATGATGATTGCTGTATCTGTGCTCCAGTCAGAATTACGGGATCCTTTGTTGATTGATAAACTTAAGACTAAAGATTGAAGAAAATAATGTAGGCTGGATACCGTTAAGACAAATGTGAATCTACAAGGCCCTGCCTTAGGGAGCTCTGGTGGCCTAGTGGTAAGACGCTGTGCTGTAACCTCAAAGACGCAGTTCGAATGCCCCAGCTGCTCCTCGGGAGACAGATGGGCAGTCTCCTCCCATGCGATTAACTGTCTCTGAAAACCCACTGGACGGTCAGCTATGAGTCGGTTCCCACTCATTGGCACTGTAATGTTTCAGCCTTCATAAACTCAACGTTCAAAAATTGATCCAGTTGATTGGACATTCCTTTTTCTGCCAAGTTGCCAACTAGGCGTGAGAGGTTAGATTTTTGGGGTCTCGGCTCTGTGACGCATGTCTCCTAATGACAGTGGAGCCTGGTGAGGAGGAGGAGAAAACCGAGCGGCAGTGCCTTTAAAGCAGAAGGGATTTCATGTCTCATATTCAGAGGCAGCAGAAAGACGTTTCAGTGCAAATGATTAAATGAGAACGTACTGTCCTGCTTTTCTAGGTGTTCATAACGTGACGGCCCTGAGTAACGTCATCACTTGGCAGAAGGTGGACTACGACTTCAGTTACCACCAGATGGAGTTCCCCTGCAACATCAACGTTCTCATCACCTCTGAGGGCCGCTCGCTCCTCCCGGTACGGTTTTCCATGGAGGTCACATGGGAAAGATGGCTACATTTTGTGTGGTCTCTTGGCATCATTTACTGTTAATAAGTTAACTTTTTCTTTTCAAAATCATGTCTTTTGATATTTAATGAGGGAATCAATTGTTTTGTTCCCACTTTGGGACCAGAATCTTCCCTCTACCAAGGACCACGTGTCAGCAAGTCACAAGACAAGCTGCTTGTAATACAAACTCCCACCTCAGGGGATGGAAAGTAGAAGCTGACTTGTCTAAAAATTACATTCATTGCAGCTGTTCTTCTGTGAGGAATGTTTTAGAGGTTCTTGTAAAATGCTCCCAAGCCACCTGGTCTTGACTTGTATGCTTTATAGTGAGACCTTGTGGCTAGACAGCAGAGTAAGTTTTCTCAGACTGATTAAAAAGAGCTTTTAATTTGGAGGGTGATGAAAAGTGCTGCCACTTGTCTAAAAGGTGACCGTTACCTGTGTGGTTAGCTGTGCTCATCTGTGACTTAAGACAGCTGAGATTAAGATGGGAATGCCCAGTGGTGGTTCCTGCAGGAGAGTGACTTGCTTTATGGGGATTCTAGAAAGGTGCTTCCGATTAAGGAAACAACTGAAACCTTCTCATTAGCTGCTCTTATTAACTACCGTTTTCTCTGCTGAAGCTTTGAGGAAGCATTTGAAGTAACCAAGAAAAAGCTGTTACCATTACTGCTGAAGTAGATAAATCAATATTAAAAGTCGACACACACCCCCAGAGTCATAAACGCTATTTCTAATTCCCTTCTGGTGTTGATAGAGATGATACATCCTCCTGAGAGTTTAAATTCCTTTTGAAACTTGAACAATCCTGTGTACTCCGTCTTTCCAGGCAGACTGCCAAATCCACTTAGAGCCGCAGATGATCCCACCAAACATGGAGGAGCACATGAATGGCCTTCTCTCTGCGGTGCTGCCTTCTGTGCTGAATAAGTTCCGCATTTACCTGACTCTCCTGCGGTTCCTGGATTACAACATCTCCGATGAGATAACCAAGGTGTGTGGAGGTGGGGCTTGACAGTTCAGTGGCTGGAATTACTGATAATCTTGCTGTTTTCTGCATACCATGTCTTTTTCATTCTTCTGTTACTCTATTACTCTTTTTTTTTCTTCTGTTAACACTTTTATTTGAAACTGGTATTTTCTTCTTTTTTTAAAAAAAAAAATTTTTATTTTATTATTTGTGTGTGTGTGTACCGTCAAATCAGATCTGACTGGTACAGGAGATTATCCCTCCTTCCCCGGCAGAGCATCTGGTGGATTCGAACCGTGCGCCTCTGGGATTGCAGTGCTGGTATTTTCTAATGTACCCTCTTAATTCCCTTATTGTATCTTCTGTAATAGTTTCTTTTTTGTGGGATTTTCCCCAGTGTTTGCTCTGTGTATTCCAAGTAAGCATTTTAATACATCAAGTCTAGAGTGTGAGCTCTGACGGTGTAGTCCTCAGTGAGTGTGCTCCTGTCCCAAAGGCAGTGTCACTGTGGCGGTTCAATTCCACAGGCTGCTCCAGAGGTTAAAGAGAGGCAGTCTCCTCCCATGGGACTTAGAGCCTGCCGAAGACACACCAGAAGGTCAGTCCCGAGTTGATTCTGACTTGATGGCCTTGAGTTAGGATTAATGCCAGTGTATATTGTTAGTTACCTTTACCAGTGCTCTTTATTTCATAGTCTGAACTAAGTTACTATCTTGGGTCCTTTCTACTGTAATTCTTAATGACAGGCCAGCTGGTGATAAACTGTCCCTTACATTTTTGCTTGTATAGAATGTGTTCATTTCAGCCTCATTTTTCAAGCCTCTTGTGGCTTGGTCTTACATTTTATTAAGTTGTTGAGGGTGTACAGCAGAACAAACACTACGAGTTTCTGCCCGTGTCAGCTTCAGGACCTGGGTTACATTTTTCAAGTTAAGTGACCATTCTCACCTTTTCCGTGTTCTGCCTTTGTTGTTGTCATTATGTGCCATCAAGTCACTTGCGACTCACAGCTACCTTATGTACAACAGCCCGAAACTCCGCTCTGTCCTGTGCCAATCGCACTGTCTCTGACACTCCCATCCCAATTATCCCAGTCACTGAATCAATCCATCTCATAGAGGGCCTTCCTCTCCTGCGCTGTCCCTCCACCCTCCCAAGCATGATGTCCTTCTCCAAGGACCAGTCCGTCCTCACAACATGTCCAAAGTATGTTACACGGGCCTTTATAGAAACTCACTTCCCACAATTCTCCTGTCTCATCTTCTGAGTTGCTATGGTCAGTTTGAGTCCACACAGCTCTTACAAGAGTGTCATGCTCCCAGCAGCCTTTTCTGATGAGGTAATTGAAATCATTGCTTGGTTTTAAGCGCATATTGGGGATAGTTTTGGTTTATGGTTAAAGATTATTTCAGAGCAATGATAGTATCAGGGATTCAGAAAGTCTTGTCTTCGGGTATTTGAAATTCTGTTCTGATGTCTCCACTTTTCATCATTATTATTCAACAGCTACTTTGTGAATTTGTTGTTGGGTTGTTCTGGGGTTTTTTAGTTTGGGTTTTGGTTTTTTTATTAAAATTGAAGTTTGGGTGAAAGTTTACAGGGCAGACTGGTTTTTAGTAACTAAATGCTTGACCACTGCCTCACCAGAGCTCCTTAAAGTGGCGCTGTCTTCAGGTGGGGTTCCCAAATCCGTGAATCTTGCCAGAGCCGACAGCCACATTTTTCTCCTGAGGAAGGTTCAAACCCCTCGACGCAGGACTCCTTAGAGTGCACAGTTTGGTGGCATTTACTTCTTCTGTGGAGCCTTTGATCAAAAATGTTCAGTAGCAGGGAACTCTGGTGGCCTAGTGGCAAGAAGCTGCACTGCAATCCCAGAGGTACATGGTTCAAATCCACCAGATGCTCTGCTGGAGAAGGAGAGGCAATCTCCTCCTGTACCAGTCAGATCTGATTTGACAGTACACGTAAAAATAATACAATAAAAATAAAAAAAATGTTCAGTAATGGTAGCCGGGCACCATCCAGTTCTTGATCTCCTGGCAAAGGATCACAGGTATTTTTCTGCATGACAGACATTTCGGCTTCTGGTCTTTTCCCTGCAGTCCTCTGAATCTACTGCCCTGCTGCCTCCTGGTCTCCAGGGTTTGGAGCTGAATCTCCAGCTGAATCACTTGTCTTGCTGTTTTTAAGATTCTAGTTAATTTTTCAGTTTGACTATAATGCATCTGTGTGTGTGATTCTTTACAATTATCCTGCTTGGAGTCTGTTGAGATTAATGTAGAATAATGCATCTCACTGGATTTGTGAAGGTTTTGACCATTATTTCTTCAGGTCTCTTTCTGTCCTTTCTCCTTTCCTTTTGAGATTTCCATTTTGTGTATTAACACTAGTTGGAGTCCCATGAGTCTCTTGTTAGGTGCCGTTGAGTCGAGTACCACTCAGAGTGACCCTCCGAACAAAAGCTCTAAACCCTGCTCTGTCCTGCACCATCCTCACACAAGAGCCCACTGCAGCATCGTGTCAATCCACCTGGTCAAGGATCTTCCTCTCCCTCGCCGACCATCCACCCTTCCCAGCATCATGTCTTTCTCCAGGGAATAGCCCCTGCTAGCAACACGCCCAGAGTATGTGAGGCGAAGCCTCAGCATTCTTGCCTCCAAAGAGCACTCCTGCTGCACCCTCTCCAAGATATATCTATCTGTTCTCTTGGCCACCCATGGGATGTTCAGTACTCTTCTCCAACACCACAGCTCAAAAGCGTCAATTCTTCTGTCATCCTTATTCATTGTTCAGCTCTCAGATGCAGAGCAAGTGATCGGAAAGACTATGGCCTGAATCAGATGCACCTTAGTTCTCAAACTGACATCATTACTCCTCAATAATTTGGAGAGGTCCCTAACTCAGATTTTCCCAGTGCAGTGCATCTCCTTATTTCCTGACTGCTGGTACCAGAGGCGCAAGGTGAAGTTGTTGACAGTTTCAGTCTCTTCTCCATCCATAATGTTGCCTATTGGTTACAGTGGTAACAATCTTTGTTTTCTTGATACTGAGTTGCAGTCCATGCCAAAGGCTTCATTCCTTGATGTGCAACATATGCTTCAAGTCCTCACTTTCAGCAAGCAATGAGTGTCTTAGGTTCAGTTAATTTTGTTTGGGTTTCCTCTGGGACGTTTTGTAGTGACTTTTCCCACCTCTTACAAATGTTTCCCCCCTAAACTAGATATTTAAAATAAGGTGGTCATTCTAGAAATCTGATTCTACCACTTCCCTGGTGTTTGTTATTGTTGAATAACTTTTCTGAACACCTTTTGTGGAGTCTGTATTCTTTGCTATGTGGCCATGGAAGCCCTCGCTCGGTTCCTTGGTGGTCAGTGAATGATCGGTCAGACATCTCCCCAAGGGCCTGGGAGTGGTGCCCCAGCCCATGCCAAGCTGTGTGTGGCCCCTACCTTCACCACGTGGCCGGTCGCTTTCAGGTGCTGCCTGTGCAGGGCCCCAGGCTTCTCCAGAGGTGATGCTGAGGCCTTCTTGGTGCTTCCCTGAGCAAGGGCAGAGCTGGGGTGGGAAAGTGTTGAAAAAGTTAATCTGTTTTGTTCATGTTTTGTTTTTATGAAGGAGACACTTCTCAGAGGTTCTATTTCTGTTTAACATCCCACCCCTATGTTTAAAGGCATCGTGTTTGCTACACAGGTTGAGCTGTGTGTTTTCAGCACCTTCTGATTGTGGCTGGTTTTAGAATCCTTGTCCCCTGCTGTTGTGTGCAGTCAAGTCAGAACTGACTCTTAGCTGACCCTCCAGTGGATTTTCAGAGGCAGTAAGTCACACGGAAGGCCACTGCCCTGCTACTTTGCTCAGTACCTGTGCAAAGGTCTGGAGCTCCACCTTTTCCGACTAATTTCTCACGTGTCTGAGGACAGGCCGACTCTCACTTTCACATCAGCCGAAGGACATGTTTCCTTTCTTTATGAAAAGGCAGCTCAGAAGAGGTGCTCTAAAGCCTTGCTCTCTCGCAGGCGGTGGAAGATGACTTTGTGGAAATGCGCAAGAACGACCCGCAGAGCGTCACCGCCGACGACCTCCACCAGCTGCTCGTCGTGGCGCGGTAAGCGGGGCTGAGTGGGGCCGAGCGGGCTCTGTCAGGGGGCCTCACCTGTCTCTTTACTAAATGGGGCTCTGCGGGGTTGAGCGGGCTCCATTAGGGGGTCCTCGTCTGGCTCCTTGGTAAGCGGGGCTGAGCTGGCTCTGTCAGGGGGGCCACACCTGGCTCTTTAGTAAGTGGGGCTGTGCGGGCTCCGTTAGGGAGCTGTCACCTGGCTCCCTTGGTAAGCAGGGCTGTG